TGTGCCTCAGGCAATATCAAGATTCCAGTCAACTGAAGGGAACTTCCAACTCAGAAGTCCAACTCATCCAAGAATGCTGGGAAATTACTTCGAGCGCGATTTGCGGTTCACACCCACCCTTTGCTGAAAAGGATGTAAAAGCATGCAATGGGAACTTCATCAAAAGTCACATATTGAAGACTGTGATTTTACATAGATATGTCAAAACAATGTTTAGGAGAAATCCTTCAAATAAATCAGATGGTAGAATCTTCAGGCCAACCATGGACCACTCCTTCAAGACCACCTGTCCCCCTCCACGTTCCAAATATCCAAATATTCTAGAAATTAAATTATTTAGGCCAAGTCTCTCTAACATTGTATTGCTTATCAAAGAGCAAGACAGCCATATAGATTATCATAGGTTTAATCTGAAAAACTAAAGACATAGAATGGATTTCATCAAACATCATAATCTTACTTTAAAAAATCAATGAATAATTGGTGTGCAGCAATTATTTAACCCTAGAAACTTGGCAAAAAGTCTCAAATATGGAAAAACCAAGTCAGAATGCTTGAAATGATCCCTGGGGCATAGATTTGTAAAGTGACCATTTTAATTTTGTAATTCCTGCTATCACTCCTTTCCATTGCAGAAGTGAGTCATTAAAAAAAAAAAAAACGACAACAAAACCATCCCTAAACCTCAAAGGCACCACAAATTTTTCTACATGATTTTTGTGGGATGTGATCATAGCATTCAGTAAGAATACCCCTGAGGAATTAGAAAACTCATTGTGGCAAGAGTCTTTAGCAAATTATACTGCAAAAGCCTCTAGAGGAGAATATAAATTAGTTACTATAAGAAATTCTTGGCAAATAAATAAATACATAAATAAATAAACAGTTTGGGGAAAAAGCAAAGGAGCAGTTAAAAGATGCCCTTCCTAAAACCTGATTTTAAAAAGACCCAAGCTGCAGGAGTCCATTTGCACTTGTGTTCTATGTACAGTCAAACCACTCGCTACAGAGCTTTCTATATAGGAACTCCCAGTTCATAGGACTTCCCTAACAATTGGAGTCAATGTTCAAAAAGCAGTGCATTTAAAAAAAAAAAAAAGATGTAGATTGGTTCATAAAACTTTGGATAAGTGTCCTTAATGAAGAGACTAGAATACTGTGCATATAATTTGCTGAAAATGGTCACAGTTTTCAAAGAGTCTTAACCCCCACATGTCATGCTATCGTCCTCATCAAGAAAGCACAGCATCAAAACTAAGGCCATTCAGGAACAGACTTACTCTGGGTCTGCTCCTGCTTGAGCAAGAGGGGCTGTTTCTCTAAGGCTTCCAAAGGACTCCAGTCTTTGACTCTCCTGCTTATATTTTTTAATTAAATCCATCAGAACAGCCTGGTGCCCAATTTTCTTTACCAGTTGCTGAACCATCCGATCATTAAGTGCTAGAAGAGCAGCCCCACTTACTTCTTCCTCTGGGAAAAAGAAAAAAAAAAAAAAAAGATGTCTCTACATGTTTGCCCGGTAATGCACCGCATACACAGCACTCTGAACAGGCAAAGTCATTTCTGGGGTTAAAAGGATCTTCTAAACTTGTCCTCTGAAGTTATAAAATTATCTCTCTTTTTGACAAAGAAAGAACACTGACACCGCATCATTCCCAACCAGCTCCTAAGAAAGTATCAGAACAGGAAGTCACAATGAAACTTTCTGCTTCCCTGGAGGGCCTCCCCCCTCTGATTATTCTCTCTAAGAGGCATTGTTTTTATAAGAAAAAAAGGTTTCTCAGAAAACCATTCTTAAGAGTACCTCCCAGGCAATATCCAATACTTGTAAATCCAACACTGATCAGAACACAGGCTGCATTCTTTAAGCACAAAAGCGGTATCAAATGCAAATAGCCCAGATGTATTTGCTTTATTTGAGTTCTTTTTCGAATATCACATCCTCCTCTGGATGTTAGGTCAAATGCATACTCTGCCACAGTCCGTAAAGAAAGGGAAGTTCCCCAAGGCAGCGATTCCCTACCCACATTCGCATGCATTAGGCAACAAGAGTAATTAATTATCAGTAACAGAGGACACTCAATTTCTAGGCTGCTCTGTTAATATTTTTCAAAGTGTAAACAACTCACCTTGAAACCTATGAACTAGCTCTCCTAAGTTTTTCTCCACCAACCAACTGCAGACCTGATCAACTGACCAGGTTTCCATGGCTGTGTCCTGTGAATACACCTGTAGAATAAAAGGTCAGAGAAGGATTCTTCAGTTTTCTCTCTGATTGTTGTTCTTTTATTTTTATTTTTTCCCAGTTAGCTCTCTAATCTCAGCTCCTCCCTTTGCCAGACTCTTTGAGACTCTCAATACAAAGCTTCTTTAAGATTACTCTTTCCCGAATACACATCTAAAAGTTGCTAATAAAACAAATACTCTTTTAAAAAATGAGACCAGTTTGAACCTATTTCCTAGTCTCATTTCTCGAATTTCTTCACCTTCTCCTACTTTTTTTCCATAGGCATCCCTCAGCTTTACTAACAGACCGCCAAAGCTGTACAATGGTACCCAATCCTGTACCATTAACACCCAGGTCTCTTCACAAAGAAAAGAAAGGTGTGAAATTCACCACTACTAGGCTCATCAGGAAGTGGTTGACATTTACAAAAGGGGTGGGCAGGGGAGGAAGGAGGAAGGATCAGATAAAAGCCTGACAGAGATTCTTAGTAAACCAAGACTGTTTAACCCCTTGTAGCGCCCAGCTAGGAAAGAGAGCTTGTCACGCTTCTGATTACTTTAGTTTAACAAGAGGAGGAAGTAGGAGCTAGATTTCTCAGGAGAATCTGCATGTTTCTTTCCTTTCTTCCATTAATACTCATATATTCTATTCAGTACTAGAACTTTATCAAACAGCATTATGGTTGGTAAGATAACAAGGAAAAAGAAGCACGTTGATTGAAAACTTTAAAAAAATTTAGTTAGGGGCGCCTGGGTGGCTCAGTTGGTTAAAAAAATTTAGTTGGGCAAATTCAAAATAGGAAAACAATTAAATATGTTAATGATCGTTAAGTGAAGGATGTGTATATAAAGTTTGCAAGATATGTTCTTTAACTATTCAGTTATTTTTACATGCCGCTATTCTGTAACTGCTTAGAAAACTTTAACAATTATGTCAATTTCAGGGACCCTTGCTGATTCAATTGGTTAAGCATCTGCCTTCAGCTCAGGTCATGATCCCAGGGTCCTGGGATGGAGTCCCCCATCAGTCCCCCATCGAGTCCCCCATAGGGCCCCTTGCTCAGCAGGGATCCTGCTTCACCCTCTGCCTGCCACCACCCATCCCCCCGCTTGTGCACTCGTGCATTCTCTCTCTCTCTCTGACAAATAAATATAATCTTTAAAGAAAAGTGAATCAATTTTAGTAATTTTTAAAATTTCTCTTAGCAGCTCATTCCCTATTTTTTTATAATTCAATCCAAATTACTTTAAATGGACCAGGGAGGAACTGAAAAAACTTAAAATGTTTTCACCTTTTAGCATTACTTTCTATTTCATCTTTTAATCTAAATGATGCAGATTTACTTGTACATCGAGACACTGACTCTTCTATAAAGACCACACAAAGCTACTCTCAGAGAAATGGGACCATAAGGAAAGATACAAATATTTATTAGATTGTGTATTTAAATTTTATTGCTAGAAGTTCTCAAAATTAGTATTATTGTATTTTTCATTTTTGTGGATTTAAGTCCGTTAGAATTTCCAACATCACAGTTAGCAGGGCAGGAAGGGAAAACATGTTTACCTTTCATACTGCAACAATCTGAAAAGATAATGGTCTTCAAAATTCATTTCCTAGAAAACAAGTCCACTTCAAAGTAATAAGCTACATCCTCATATGCATTCACAAACACCAAGCTGCCAACCTGAAAACAAGGGTTAAATATAGAAGAACATCTGGCTGAATTACAGCAGTAGATTTAATTTGCTAAGACAACAGTAGCCACAGAACTCCTCCCTTAGGCTAAGCTGCAAGAGCACGGTGTGAAAAGTCATTATTTGCGAGACTCTGGTGTAAATTAAAAATCACACCTTCCTGTCACACTTCTGGCTTCCTTGTGAAGAGTAAGGCTTTTAAAAAATAATAGAAAAGAAAAGAAAAAAAAATCCACAATTCTCTAAACTCCAAGATTAAAAGGTATGCAGAGCAGAAGATACTGCCCTGTGGCCATCAATGGATAAAAGGAAATTTGAAAATAAAATAAGTGCTTGGAAACCTCATATTTTTAAATTCCCAGATATTTACCTAATTCTACTTCCGGAAAAAACAAAACAGTTATCAAATTATAGCTTCATAGATACATAATCAGATTAAAGAAGTGTAGTTTTTGACCATTTGTTTTTCTGAATATTTAGGAAAATAAAATAATATCACTTCCGAGACAATGTAACAACTTTACGTAACAACCTTGCATCTTCCTCTCACATAAATAATGGATATATTATTTGTGACCTTATATTTCATAAAGGAACAGAAGATATGTCAAATGAGAAAATATGTATCCAGCAGCCTTACTGCGTACCCAGCAGTTTCAGAAACATCTGAAGCAATTTTGAAATGTGAGGCCAAGTATGATCGCTAAATATTTTAAGGCACGATAATAAAGGGAGAATAACCAGAGAACGTTATGTGTGAATACCATAGCCAAAGCATTTTCACTATTCGATTAGATTGTACTTTAATAAATTTGTCGTAAATACTAAAGGATCACATCTAATTAAAGCCAGGAAGAGATAAGACTTGAGCTAAAGCAGCCTAATGGCAAGTTTTATTTAATAAATTTGTTAAAGCTCCAAAGGAAGATAGTATCAGCTGCCATGAATGTGGTTTATAATCTTCAAGGGTGATGTGGCATATAACAACATCAACCACAAATAAGGACTTTTAAAGAAAATATGAGAACATTTTTTCACTTTTCTTGCTGTTTGCATTTTTCTTTTTCTTTTCCCAGGGTCGCAAAGCTGAGGCAACAGAAAGATTTTTAAAAACCTTGCTGGTGACATTAAGTCCTTTCCTGGATCAGCGCCTCATGCGTGGCTTACTTCCTTCCTTCCTTACCGTGGCTGTACTTGAAGGAAGATTCCATTTAGCAAAAAAACAGATCCTGTTGGTGAAAAAGAAGGAAGGGGGAGGCACAAAAAAATAGGTATATGGCAGTCGCATGGAGCCAAGTCCAGGCAATTCCGTCTGGAGCAGCCTTGCTACGGCAGGAAACAATGATGTCATTGTACTCCAATGAAGCGAATCATCTCATCCACTTTGGGCCATCGTTCATTCCAACCATCACCAGACCAGAAAGTATGAAAACTGGAATAGTCAACTGGAATACCTTGCCCACCTTTGTCATCAACATGCTTACTGCCTAGAGCTCGGAGCCAGGTGAATGGTGATAAAGAAGTTAGAAGCCTTACCAAGAACATAAGACATGTCCATAAGCAGAATATAATATGGAGTCAATTAATAGGTGTTGTAAAAAGCACTCAGGGCTGGATTTTCCCACTCTCCTGGAAATGGATTGAATGGATCTTAACTTGGAATCTGAACAAAAAATACAGTTCAGAACAGTGAAAGTAAAAAGCCAGCAATAAACAAGTCATGTTTGGGGACCTGTAGGTGGACAAGGTATCTGGAGTGGCAAGAGCAGACAGATCTGAAAGATCACTGGAGAGCTGGGAATCCTGAGTTTCCAGCTTACAGATACACATAAACTTGGGGAAGTCATTGACTTGGTCGCTTAATCCATGCTTCAGAAGGATTATTTACACAGCCGAGTCAGATAAATTACAGGAAAGGGTGTTCTTTCTTGAAGTAAATTGTGTATGACAATGAAGGGTTTAGCTTTTACTAAACATTCCTACATGCACCAATTTTCCTTCATTTTAGGAAGACAAATGTTTATATTAATCTCTCAAAAAATTATGGAAATAAGGGCACCTGGATGGCACAGTTGGTTAAGCACCCCACTCTTGGTTTTGGCTCAGGTCATGATCTCAGGGTGGTGAGATCAAGCCCCACCTCAGCTCTGCACTCAGCACAGAGTCTGCTTGAGATTCTCTCTGCCCCTCCCGCTTGCGCTCTCTCTCTCTCTGAAATAAATAAATAAATCTTTTTAAAAAAATTATGGAAATAAAACTTTAATTTTTTTCATAAATCACTGGCAAAAACAGAATGAGATCTACAAAGGTAGCTGACACCAAGCAAATGAAACACACCAGCAGGGGTTCTCAATAGACATTAAGCTGAATCATATGAAATTGCTCTTTTTTGTACCTACAAGAGTCTCAGGTCAATAATTTCTTATGGTTGAGCTTACCGACTAAAATCTTGATCTTCTGAAAACTACTAAGTCTTTCTGGGTTCCTTGTGTCCAGCAAAACTTACCAGAGGTATCTGTAACTCACACCACCCCCAAGAAATCTGAGGGAGAGGAGAAGTGGGGAACACAGTAACAGTAACTTAAATTTTATATATTTATATTTGTAAAGAAACTTAAGAGCAATTTTTCCGGGAGGTTAATCAAACCAATGAAAAAATAGGGTCAGTGTCCCAGGACTTTGGGGACTTTTCAGTCACCAACACACAGGGTTTTTTGCCTGTGTGTCAAACTTATGATTCATCCTCGCTTCTGCCTAGTTGACTGTCAAAGCTAATGGGTCAGCAACGCAGACTGCAATCCTCGGGGTTCTTGCCAGAGAATACTGTGAGCTATGCTGTTAACTTTTATCAAAAGCTGAATGTGTAACTGAGAAGTCTTGATAGTCTGAAGCTGTCAATTCTTTCAGAATTAATTTATGAATTCCAATTAATGTTCAAACACTGTTTTATGTTTTTACTAACTATGGTACTTGTGTTCATCTGGAAGGACAAATGGGCAAAAAGAGACAGAAATTCTTGACAAAGGATTTGCTTTCCCAGATGTTCAAAAGTCTTATAAAATTATAATAAATGTAAAAGCATGGTACTGGGGCAAAAGAGGACAGATCATTGAAACAGAATAGAAATCTGGAAGCAGAAATATACATATGGAAGTATTAAAAAGACATTGATTCAAATTGGTAGAGAGAGAAGGGATTATTCAACTGATTTTGTTGGGACACAACCACATATCACCTATAAACTAAATTTCTCAGATGAGTTAAATAATTGAATATGAAAATTAAATTAAAAAGAATTAAAATAATCTAAAATAAGATTGTAAAATAAAAATAAAAGATTGATAGATTTGACTGCTAAAAGAGAAAAATATTTATGTACACATATATAATATATAATTATAAGGAATATAATGTTTTGTATGGAAGTGTTAAATCACTAAATTGTACACCTGAAACTAATATTACACTGTATGTTAACTCACTGGAATTTAAATAAAAACTTTAAAAAAAAAGTTAAATACACCCATGAAAAATAGGAATGGGCAATTCATGAACAAAATTTTAAATCTGTTCAACATTCTTTGTAATGAAAATGACTAAATGCCATTTTCATTTACTCTATTGAAAAAGGTGAAAATTAAAAAGAAAAAGATTAGCAAGAATGCGAGGTCTAATTTTCTTTTACATATTGCTAAGGGAAGTATAAATTGCTACAACATTCTGTTGTATTATTCCCATTTCATAGATGAAAATGCTGAAATTCAGACGTAATTCACCTAAAGTCCCATAGCTTGTAAGGGAAAGAGTAGCTTTGAATCCCAATCTCTCCAACTTCAAGGGCTACTAAGATAAGTGAAAAATCATCAAAAAACTCCTACGTTTTGACCCCAACATAACATTTCTAAGAATTTACCCTAAGGACATTACCAGAGAAAAGCACAAAAATGGGCAACCTAGCAAAAGCTAGAATAGCAAAGAAATTGGACAGACTGTTTCCAGAAATAGGAATTGACTTCTGAATTATGGTAACATATTTAAAATGGAATATTATGCAGTAATTAAAGATAGCAATACAGAGAAACAGTCATGAAATATCATTAAGTGAAAGTAAGTTTATAATATGCTTCAATGTTGTAGGAAGTACGAAATAAAACTAGAACTACATATAGGGGTCACACAAAGACTGGGAAAACAGGCACCAAAAGGGAAAAGTGGTTTCCTCGGTTTGGGGAAATTAATGCATTTTGTTTTCTATTTTGTTACTCTCAGACTTTTTTATTGAGAAAATCTTGAGAGTAACAAATTAGAAAACAAATTTCATTGGCAGGGAAGTTAGGGTTTTAAAGATAAAAGATAAAAATGATATTTATCGATCATTGCTGGAAAGGTGTCAATCCACCAATTCTATACCAGATGATCAAAAGACCGAGCACTAGGCCCGAACCAGCCATGGAAGCAGTTTTAATTATTGTATTTTAAAAATGGAAGATTTCATTAAAAAATCCAGAATCTTGGGGCACCTGGGTGGCTCCGTGGGTTAAGCGTCTGCCTTCAGCTCAGGTCATGATCCCAGAGTCCTGGGATCAAGTACTGTATTGGGCTCCCTGATCACCAGGAGCCTGCTTCTCCCTTTCCTCCCTGCTTGTGCTCTCTCTCTATCTCTCTCTGTCAAATAAATAAATAAAATCTTTAAAAAAAATTCAGAATCTTGATTTCTTTTAAAAAAATTGGAAGTTTTGGAAATGCTGGGATTTTACTTTTGAACAGCAATAGACAGAGCAGTGACTGTGTCCTTGAAAGAAGAGCAAGACACCCTCTAAGATGCACTGCAAGGTATTGGAAGCAGGAAGCCATGTTGAAACAGGCTAGATTTCAGAGAGCTGATGTTCATCAACTCTTGAAAGAAGAAGGTCTTGAGAAGAGTGATAAACACCCATGTAAGTATATATGTAAGTATATGTGCACATTTTCGAATGTATTTAATTCCTTATTAATTAACTTTTTTTTAACTCCTAGAAAAAATTATACTGATCAGAAAACCATTTGCCATAGCAACGTTAAGACAGAGATGGTAACACATACGTTAGAATGTAGGTGTTGATTCGAGGACTCAAAGCTTTGTGTCTAAGAAAGCCCTTCTGTGTTAGGGCTTTTGTTTTCTTGGAGTAAGTACCTAGAAGTAAAATGCACGCACGAACCTTTATTGAGCACAGATACTGGCTTAGTGTAGTGTTTATTACATAGCTCAATGGGCATGGGATAGCGCAGGTGAGAATTGCTTGTTTTGTAGTTCTGAATGGTGGCAAGAAATTGTGTTATTGAAATATTGCAGTTTAGTAAACTGTTCTTGGGAGCCACTCATCTGTTAGAGCATGTGACAGCTGATTATTGCATCCTCCTATAAGGCTCCGCTTGGGAATCAAGCTGGGCTCTGCTCATCTGTGATACTGAGCATCAGTGGGACTTTGTGGCTCCCTTCTCTAAAGAAAGGACACAAGGTGATGGATATTTTTTTTAAGATTTTATTTATTTATTTGACACAGAGAGAGACAGAGAGAGGGCACAAGCAGGGGGAGTGGCAGGCAGAGGGAGAAGCAGGCTCCCCGCTGAGCAGAGAGCCCCACCCGGAGCTCCATCCAGGACCCCGGGATCATGATTTGAGCCGAAGGCAGAGGCTTAACTGACCGAGCCACCCAGGCGCCCGGCTGGATCTTCTTAATTCTTTTTAATGCAGTGAGACTCACACCACAGACGGGACGGGCAGGATTGAAAAAGGCACAGGACCCCGTAGTTCTCCTACGAAACTGGTACTGGATGAGTGACAAATGCTCATGCTCTGTCAGCCCTGGGTTTTTCTGAAGACAGGCAGCAATGTTCAAACTTTTCATTCACACAAAGCTAAAACTAGTCTTTTTTAAAAATTGGCCCCCAAAAGTAAAAGTGGTACCAATTAGTAGACCGTACTCTGTTAAGTCAAAGTGTGTGTACTTCAATGTGTGTGTATGTGTGTGTGTGTGTGTGTGTCTGTATGAGATAGAAAGAGAATGAGGGAGAGAAAGACAGACAGACGGAAGGACCAAACAAGTGAAGAAGTGAGCATGGGGAAAATAGTAAAGAGCAGAGGAAAAGGTCATCATGAATGATAACAAATAGGTGGTGAGATAATCATACTGGAAAAATAAGGACGTAGGGATTGCAATAAAATACATTTTCTTTTTTTAGATTGTATCATGGTGAACAAATTTTTAAAAAATCTCTACAGTTGGGAGGCCTGGGTGGCTCAGTCGGTTAAGCGTCTGCTTTCAGCTCAGGTCATGATCCTGGGATCGAGCCCCGCGTGGGGCTCCCTGCTCAGTGGGGAGTCTGCTTCTTCCTCTCCCTCTGCCACTCATGCTCTCTCTCTCTGCCACTCATGCTCTCTCTCTCACTCTCTCTCTATCTCAAATAAATAAATAAATAAAATCTTTTAAAAAAATCCTATAAAAAATATAAATAAATGAGTAAAAAAATTTCTACAATTAAAAAAAATCTCTCATTTTACTCTTTCACCATTGTTTAATCCCATTTGGGAACAAATGTGGCACACCAGGGTAAAAGTTTAAGAGTAGTCTAGAGGAAGAGGAAGAAAAATAAATTTGGTTCAGAAATTAGGTCTCCCCAAATGCTTAAAATATAACAAAAAATTCAGTATTTCCATAACCAGACCTAAAACTAACTTGTCATTTAAAATGTCTTGGCTCTCAGAACACAGCTTGAGAAGTGCAGGTGCGGGCTTCCTGGTGACACGCTGAGAAAAGATGCCTGAGTGAGCAAGGCCGGCAGCCTGCTCCTCGCTCAGTCCTGGCTTTATCGTCTACAGATCATGTTACCCTTTTTCTCCAATTGCCCGAGTCCTCCGTCTGGTTATCCACGTCAGATTGTTCTTTTCCTGGTATGGTTTTCCATCCATTGTTGCAGAAGTCTCTGC